AGTTATTTTCCCCTTGGATGCTGATTGGTCCATTCCTGAGTAGCCTCTGGGTGGTCTTAGTTTGTGGTCTTTCCTGGAGTCAGGTATTGCCTTAGGGTAAACTGAAACTCAGGCCTTCTTTCTGGCTAGTCTCTATTGAGCCTATCATGGCAGCTGTGTGGCCAAGCTGCCCTGGGCCCCACAGTGGCACCTGTGCTGGGACCTGAACTTGGATTCTCTGTGAGAGCAGTACATGCTCTTAGCTTCTACGCCATCTCTCCAGGCCCCATTCCTTTCTTTTAAGACAGGGTACTCTATGTAGCTCAGACAGGCCTTAAACTTGAGTGTATGGATTGTAAGTCTGTACCATGATACCCAGCAATTTACTAGGAGCTAGTAGCATGTACTTCTATCACTCAAGGCCCATCCTGAGCACCTCAGTCTGTGGGCCCCAGGCTTTCCGATCTCTTGTTAGTCAGAGCCTAGTTGAGTTTATGTATCTGACTCTGACGACAACCTTCAGGGGCCAGCAGCAGTGCTCATGACAATCCTATTTTAACCCGTGTAATCCAGAACACTATCCAGTTTCAGCAGTCACAGTTAAGACTAACTATAACATCAGAGACAAATTATAACATTAGTTCCATGTTATTGTTGTTGCCAAACCACCAATATGCAGCTTCTCATCCACTTTATGAGTCAAACTTTTGTTTAATGTGTGGTAATGGGGAAAGTGGCCACCCTTTGTATGCCTGTTCTGTGTCTGTGTGGGTATGAGAATCGAATAAGGATATACGTATGGGTGTGAATGGGCACTCGTATGTGTGTCTAAGAGCAGGAAAGGGCATATGTGGCCTCAGGTGTGTGAGTGTGAGTGTGACTGGGTGTGGGTGGAGGGCTGCAGTACTGTGGGGCAGTCTGCAGGAAGATTTCTACTACTTCTCTTCAGGGCCTCTGGGTTCCTTTGTCTAATCCCCTCCTAATCCTTAAGTAAACTTCAGATGACTCAGGTTGAGACCTTTCGACTACTGTCAAAAGCCATCTGAAGCAATTCAAATGCTATTTCCAGTCTTCTGGGGGGAACCCATGTAGCCCTGAAAATTATGCCTGCATTCTGGACCCTTCTGTTAGGATATAACAGCCTTGTCAACATATAGGGCTGGTCTCTCTGTTCTTGTTGGAGGCTGGCAGCCACAGGGTTATGGCAGCTCGAGTGGGCGGTGTTGCCTGTGGACAACATCATGTTTGCTTCCCTCATGTAAGGTCACAATTATCACTTGCCGTTAAAGCAAACATGTCCATGGAATTGTAGCCTCTAGCTCCTACCCAGGGGTGTGAGTTTAGGTCCCTACTCATCTCTGGTATCTTCCCTTACTGAGCTGGAATGGCCTTTCTTTTCCTGCATTTTGCTCTTTTATCTTTCGGATTTGACAATGACACTCTGGTGTCGGGTAACAGGCTGAAGCTTGCTCTAAGGTGCCTGCCTGCCCCATGCTCAGGAAAGATGGCGCCTCAAAACTGGCAAAAGGCCCCCTCTTCTTTAGTTCAGTTTTCCCCACTTAGGATGACAGAGCAAAATGCCTCCGTTTCTGAGAGACAAGAAAGATATTTTGTATTATTTAGCTTAGTGTTACTGTACCAAGATACCAAAGAAAATCAGTTAAAAGGGAGAGAGGGCATTTTGGCTCATAGTCTGAGAAGTTTTAGCCATGACTGTTGCTTGGGCCTGTGGTAACACAGAACTTCATGGCAGGAGTATGATACAAAGAAAGCCTGTTGGCCTCTGATGTCTGGGAAATAAGGGGGGTGAGCAAGGTCTCAATATCTCCTGTAAAGGTGCTTTCACAGAGGACTAACTTCTTCCCAATAAGCCCCACCTCTTTCGGAGGGGGTGAGATAGCATTTCTCTGTATATCCCTGGCTGTCCTGAAACTTTCTCTGTAGACCAGGCTGGCCTTGAACTCAGAGGTCCACTGCCTCTTCTTCCTGAGGGCTGGGACTAAAGATGTGTGCTGTCACCTCCTGGCTAGGCCTCATAAATATTTTTCCACCACCCCCCAGTAGCAGCACAGGTTGGAGGCCAAGCCTTCAACACATGGGTCCTTGGAGAACGCTTATATAAATGATGGCATATTCTATCACATTGTTGCAGTATGTGACAAAATGGACATAATTCCTATTTCATTTGCCTGAGTTTTTCTTTAAAACTTGGGAGCTGGTATGGGCTTTCTCATCTGACCAGAACTTCCTCAGGATCATGCAGTAAACTTGAGGCAAGTACAGAGTAGCCACTGTCTACTTTTCAATCAAAAACATTGAGGCTATCAACAGAACCACCTCTTTAATTATTTACGGGCAACTCCAGGAAGGAGATGATTTTCTGTCTTTCTTTCTCTGCCACACAGCACGTTAGCAGCTACCACCATGCCTTCCACACTCCAGGATGATGGACAAGCTGTCAGCATCGGGAAGCTGATATTATTTTTGAAGGACAGGAAGAAAAGGGAGAGGATGGGCCAGAAGACAACCAGGGGTTCTGCAATAAAGGATGTTTCTGAGAGAGAGAGAAAAAATGCCAAAAAACATTTACTTCATTCTCGGCACCATTTCTTTTCACCAGTTATCAGAATTATGCAGAAACAGCCATATGTTTGCTTTGAGACTTGTTTTACTGCATTGCCCAGACAGAAGCCCATTTTGTAGCTATGGGGGTCAATTTCAGGACCCTGCCTTTGCTAGGCAAGTGCAGTATTACGGAGCTACATTCCCAGTGCTGCATCTATAGGTCTGTGTGACCAGATCCAGCTTCCAGAATAGTTACATTTACTGTTTCCATCTTGTAAAAACAATTCTTTCTTATAGTTCAGCTGTATGTTTCTATGACCAATCCCCTGGCCTGCCTTATCCAGAGAATGACTGGTGAAAATTTAGTAAGAGAAATATTCTGAGTTCTTCAGTAGCCCTTTGCAGTCTCTCAGAGGATACACTTTATCTGTGCTTAGCCACTTCTGCAAGCGTGTTGTTTACTCTCTTAGCGCCCTTTTCTCAGGCAACTGCAAGGAATGTTGAGGTGGTGCATGGCTGGCACCCACAAGACACTGGATTTAATACCTAGCAATAAGGAAAGCAAAGAGAAGAAAGGGACCACATTCCAAAGAATTGATGTGTCCTGCAGAAAAATGTCTTTTCTTCTTCAATCCAGGGAATGTTACAACAAACTCTATGACTCAGTAGGTAAAAGAGTTTGCTATGCATGCCTGAAGATCCGAATTAACTCCCTGTACTTCACAGTGAGAGGAGAAAACCCAGCTCTGACCTCCACATGGGGGCTGTGACAAACACACACACACACACACACACACACACACACGCACAGACACAGACACACACACATGCACAGACACAGACACACACACATGCACACAAAGAGCACAGACAGACACACATACACACACACACAGACACAGATACAGACACACATACATGCACACAAAGAGCACAGACAGACAGACAGACAGACATACACACACATGCACACAAAGAGCACAGACAGACAGACAGACAGACACAGACACAGACACACACACACACACACACACACACACACACACACACACACGGAAGCCAGACTAATCCAAGACTTTCTCCAGGCCCTAATGAAAAGGACAAAGGGAATTTTAGTTCATGTTTTTGTTCAGCAGTGGACTTGGACAATGCCTGACTAGTCCCTGAGCCACTGCCCTAAAGGAGTCAAGGTTGTCCTAAAGCAGCTGTGTCTGTGTTCTCTTTGACAACATTGTCTGACTTAGCTCCCTGCTGGCCTTGGCCATTATGCCCCCTGAAAGTAGTTCATATGATGCTACACTTCTTAATAAGCTTTCTTGGTACAAGTCATCAGGTCTGGCCATTGCTTTTGCCATCTTTGTTTCTCATGCCTGGTCTTCCCACCCAATACCTTCTTGTTTAGGAACCTTCTTTCTGCTGGTTTAGGTCATATACATACAATAAAATACATTTAAAAAATCAGTAAGTTGTAGATGGTTTTATTGACTTACAATATGGAAGGATCATGTAGAAATTTTGTCTCTGCAGAAGGGCTGTAAATCTTCCATTATGTGATGATACATTGTTGTATACCTTCCTAGAGGTGGAGACTACATGCACTCAGGATTAAGCTGCCTCAGAGTAGACCCAAAGGGTTTCTGGTGGGTGGGGGACAGGGTCATGACAAGACTGCCATCTCCACAGACACCAGGGAGCCTGAGGGCCCTGTTGGTACAAGGTCAAGGGCACCTTCAAGCCACCTGAGAAATAACAGATGTACAGGCATGACTTCCTGGGCAAGTATGAGCTTCTCCATCCAGACAGCTATGCACAGCACCAGCCACAGTGGTCTGGCCTTTGCACTGAGCTTTACTCCACCTAGATGTGGTTAAAACCTTCAACAGTACCAACAAGTGAGTGAGGACCAGAGGCCTAATGTCCCCAGTGAAAAGAGAGTTGAGTTTCAAAAAATAATAATAAAATAGAGCAAGTGCATAGGGCTTTTATTTATTTTAAATTGTCTTTTAGGAGCTAGAGTTGAGAAATTGGGAGAGACAACAACTCAGTAGGCAGCCCAAGAGGGTCAATCTGGAGTCAGTGTGTGTGTGTGTGTGTGTGTGTGTGTGTGTGTGTGTCTGTGTGCATGTGTGTATGTATGTCTGTGTGTATATGTATGTACATGTGTCTGTGTGTGAGTGTGTCTATGTGTGTGTGTGTGTATATGTGTGTATATGTGTCTCTGTGTGTGTGTGTCTGTGTGTGTGTCTGTGTCTCTGTGTGTGTTGTAGGGAGGGTTCAGAAAAGAATAGAGCTGGCGCTATGCCAGCAGCCAAGCCTACTTCCGTGGTTGTCTGTTCCTTTCTGTTCCGGTGCAAAGGTTGTTACTCGGCCTTGAATCCTGCCTCCCCCCCCCCCCCTTTCTCAACTCTGTTGATTCAGTTCTGTTGGCTCTGTAAGGGAGCTAGATCAGTGCCTCAGGGGCCTAAAGTGCCTATGCCCTTCAGCTGGCTTCCTACAAAAAGTTCTGCGAAACAGAACAGGGATGGCAGGTGATTCAACCCTGCTGGCTGCTGTCTCCCTTCTCTCTGCCTGTCAGCAAAGTAAGACCATGGGGATGGTGTGTGTGTGTGTGTGTGTGTGTGTGTGTGTGTGTGTGAGTGTGCTGTGTGTGTGTGTGAGTGAGTGTGCTGTGTATGTGTGTGGTGTGTGTGTGTGTGGTGTGTGTGATGTGTCTGTGTGGTGTGTGTGTGGTGTGTGTATGTATTGAGTGTGATGTGTGTGTGTTGTATGTGTGTGTGGTGTATGTATGGTGTGTGAGTGTGATGTGTCTGTGTGGTGTATGGGTGGTGTGTGTGTGAGTGTGATGTGTATGTGTGAGTGTGCTGTGTGTGTGATGTGTCTGTGTGGTGTGTGTGGTGTGTGTGTGTTGTATGTGTGTGTGGTGTATGTATGGTGTGTGTGAGTGTGATGTGTGTGTGTGGTGTATGTATGGTGTGTGTGTGTGTGTGGTGTATGTATGGTGTGTGTGTGTGTGTGGTGTATGTATGGTGTGTGAATGTGATGTGATGTGTGTGTGTGTGTGTGAGAGAGAGAGGTGTTTGTGTTTCATGTCTGCATTTGGTTAGTAGTGCTGGGTGCAGAGCGTGGATTGCTTAAGGTGGCCTGTGCTCTCCTTCCCTGGGATGAGCAAGTTCCAGAGATTAGTTCTCACAGGGATGTGGTGGGCCTCAGAGCCCAGTGACTCTGCATCTTCTATGGTCACAGTACATATTCCAGTGTGGAGGAGCATTAGGAGTTTCAGGCGGGGACGTGAGCACGAGAGTGGTGATGACAAATACCCATTAGGAATGTGCACCAGGAAACCATTCCTGTTTCTAAATTTGGTTGTAAACATTTAGTGTGTTTTCTTAGAGAAACTGCCTGTGGCAGATATCATCAAGGTAAAGCTTTGCAGAAATATGCAGTTTGGATCAAGTAATGAATTCTAAACATTACAACATCTCCCTACCAGGGTGACTCCACACCCGTCTGTCTGGTTCCCCAAAAGCCATAGTTACTCAACTCTGCCTTACAGGCCTAGTGAACAGTTTCTTACAAAGAATGCCGGTTTCTTCTTCCTGGGGTGCATGTATCCGGAACTAGGTCTGAGCTCTGGAGACCGTGCAGGCCCCACACTGCAGGAAGCAAAAGACTTCTATGCTCAGAAGTCCAGTCTTCACATTCACTCAGTGGCTAGCCTAGGAGGTCTGCTTTGTGGACAAGGGAAAACCTTAAACCTTCGACACTTGTTCACCAGCTTTTGTGGAATAGAGCAAGTGTTTGCTTCCAACCAAAGAAGAAGTTGGGCCTGAGTAATCAGTGAGCTGTGATCCTGTAATTGCAGAGCAGGCAGGGACAGGGCTATGTGCACCTTCCACCACAGAGGCTCCTCTTGACAGAGATCCTTTTGTGTGCTGGCTGATGCTGAGAACACTGTGAGCTGGGACCAGAAGTTAGGCAGTTCAGTGGTGAGGGAGGCAGGGGACGGGAAGAGAAGAGAGTGGGAAGATGATGTCTGTGGTAGGAACAATGTTCACTTGTGGGGAGTGGAGTGCAGAGAGAGACCCAGACAGAGAGACACTGCTTAGCTCGCTGCTTCAACAGACTTTTGTTGTTTACAGAATTAGGACTCCCTGTGCCAAGGTACAAACAGCTCAGGCTTTTAAGACAGACCCGCCTGCCCATATCTGCTCGGCCCAGCCCCAAGCAGGACATTCTGCTCCTCCATGTCCTCTGTACAGACAGGATCCTGGGTAGGAAGTGCCTCCGTGGTGACTGGTCATTAGCACTGTTCCTATCCTGAACCTCTCACCTGCACAGAGAAGCAGGGAAGGATCCATCTGTGACTGAGTGATCATCAGTGGGGGTGGGGGGAGGAGGGTCCTGCCTTTATCATCCCTAGCACACAAGCATTCCCACACCCCAGGAAAGAGGATAGGTGGGCAAAACACAGGTGATCATACCCACATGTGTAAGGAGAGAAAATCAGTCTTTCCACAGAACGGATAAAATGTCTCGTTCACACTTAGTGTGTGCCATTGACAGCCATGATCTTCCTGAGGCCCTGAGCTCAGAGCATAGATTGGCACCAAACCCAAATATTCCTTCCCATTGTGGATATTCACACACCTCTCCCAATTACAGATCAAGGTCCTCACATTGGCTGGTGTAGCAGACAGGTGCCTACTGCAGTTCACAGTGTTGAGAGAAACTGAACTTGGTTAGGGTTAGGGTTAGGGGTTAGAGGTCAGGGGTTAGGGGCTAGGGGTTAGGGTTAGGGGTTAGTTAGGGTTATGGTTAGGGGTTAGGGTTAGGGTTTGGGGTTAGGGTTAGGTGTTAGGGTTAGGAGTTAGTTTAGGTTAGATTAGGGTTAGGGAGTGTTTGCTCATTCACAAGCCTTTTTGAAATCCCATGTTCTTGTGCCACTGCTCATTGGCCAATCTAGGAATACACAGTCTTCATTATTTTCAGTCCCTAGGTGTTCCCTTCAGGACTGTGAAACTAATTAGAAGCTATGGGAGGGGGGACAGTGGTAGCCAGAAAGGCCAAGTTCCAACTTTTTCCTAATGGACAGAGTCCCTCCTTTTTGGGCTCTGCTTGAGCCCATGAGCTACTGGCTCGTTCACAATTACACTACCCAGAAACATCAGTGAGTCAGTCAGAAGTGGTTGTTGAGATATTAAAGTGAGACCAAACTGTGTTTGAGGCAACAATTAAGGACGCAGAACTGGGGTGATAATGGAAGGGAAATGATAGACACTGGGAGGTGATTACGAGCGAGGAAAGAAGGAGATGAGGATCTGGGAGATAATTCAGGTAGTAAAGAGCTTGCTTTGCAAGCACAAGGACTTGAGTTCGATCCCCAGAATGCATGTGAAAACAAAATAAAACAAACTAGACTTGGTGGTACAGGCTTGCAATCCCAGTGCTAGGGAGGAAGAGATGGCTAGGTCCCTGGGGCTCACTGGCCAGTCTGCTTTAATTGGATGGTTTCTGGTAGGTAGTCATGGTAACCCAACTATACTCACACTTTGCTGATGACCAGTGATGCGCTACACTTTAACACCACATTCTTTTCCCTTGCAGTTTATTTTGCTTTGCATGTTGGACGAGCAAGGTTAAAATACAAGATTACGCCCCCTGCAGTCACTGGGTCCCTGGAATTTGAGAGAATATTTCGTGCGCAGTAAGTAATGCTTTTCACACAGGCAGGTATTGTTTTTAAAAAAGCTGTTCTATTTACCAATAAAGACTATGGAGTCAGAAGCTGAAGTGAAAACCTGCTAGATCAGAGGCTGAGAACCAACCAGCTGACCTTCCTTTCCTTTTTTGCCCAGAGACCCAGCAAGAGACCATTTCTCCACTTGTCTCAAACCAAAAAGCCCATGAATCTTTAATCCCTCTCCACTCCGTCCTGTGTTTCTCTCTATCCATCTTCTTGGCTCCTCCATATCTCTATGGCTAATTCCAGTGAACTAGTTGCTGACTCTGCCCCATGACCCAAGGTTGATTTGTTTAACATAGTCTTGGGGTTTCACAGTGCAATTGCACATCCTAAAACAGGCAGGCCAGCCACAGACAGACAGATTCTGATTAGGGGAAAGAGAACTAGAAAAGACCCTTAGTTCATTTCAGTTCACAGTCACTGTGCACCCATCTCAGGCTCCGCCGTCATGAATCGTCCAGTGTATGTTATCTACCCAACTTGTAGCAAAGATCTAGTTGGACTGGTCTATTTACCCAAAAGTCTACAACTTTGGGAAAATGGTAGTGTCCCTCAAGCACTGTGGCTTGATCAAAGAGAACTCTCCAGTCCCATGTGGGTTCAGTAGATTCAAGTGGTACTATTTTATAGTTTCTTTTCTTCTTCTGCCAAGTTCTCCAAGAACCATTTCCTAAAATCTGAAGCATGTAAGAACAAGCTGTCCCAAGTCACATGAGTCCTCAGTGTTTTTGATCATCCCGTGCTGCCTGCCTTTTCAGACAAGCACAGAACCTTCTGTCATAAACACCCTGCACTTCCTGTAGAAGTTAGGGTAACCTTTACAGGTCACCCCAAAGCCTAGTGCTTTGGAGACCATTGTCTTTATCAATATTTGCTCATTGCTGAGTTCTTTCTTTAATTTCTTCTTTATGTCCATGAGTAAGGTTCATCTGTAGTTTTTCTTGTATAGTTCTTGTCTCATTTTGGCTATTAAAAATTACACCTTGAATTCCGTTTGGTAAGGCAAGCCCTTTGGGCTGACAATATGACCTCTTGGTCAGCCTCTTGCTCTCAGATGGGTTTTATAGACTGATCTTCCCCTTGGCTTCAGAGCATCCAAGGAATGCCCATGAGACAACTTTAAGTAACATCATACCATACAAGGAGAAGTCATTCCCACCCTAGCTGTCTTTAAATACTTTTGGTATGTCAAGTAGCAAGCGTTGGTTGGGTGCCAGTGTGTTTTACACCTAAAAGTAAATGTTTATTTTATCAGCCTGTGCACAGCCTGGAAACAGAGTGGAATGATGAGTCTTATTACAAGTCACTGTCCCTTGTGCCTGCCAACACTGTGATTTCACTGCTGTTTATTTGTCCACAGTTTTAGGCCTTGCTAGTCACATTATTCTCTCTTCTTAGTCCTGTAGTTGATCGGTAGTCACTTTGTTGTGTTAAACCTGGAGCCAGTGTTTGCACCATTGTAACTAAGTAAACAATGTTGGAAGTGGTTATATGTCCTTCTTGTGCAGGGTTGGGCTAATAACTGCTTCTTTGCTGTCTCCATTTCATTCCTAATTCTTCTATGGAATTGAGGCTCCCCTGTGAGCACTTTCAGATGCACTGGCATCCTTTTCCTGCTTTGAGCCAGTCTGCATCCTCCCCCATTTCTGTAGAGGGTGCTCTCAGAGCTACTGCAAGGCTGCTATTCTGGGTCTTCTTGTCAACATCTTAGAATTTGCTTATACTCTGGATTTAGATCACCTGCTACCTGGATTACATTTTTTTTTTTAATTTTTGCATTATTTTTGTCTCTTACTTTAGTGGGGCACATTTGTTATCTTTGAGTTACAGTGGTCAATACATGAGACCCAACTTAGAAGGAAGATTTATTTTGGTTCAGTTTTAGATATCTTGCTGTGTTGGCTCTATTGCTTTGGACATGGGTGGCACATACATCATGATGGCAGCATGTGCTGGGGCAAATCCTGTTAACCTCATGGGCAGATGCAGAAAAGAAAGAGCCTTGGTCCCATCATTCCCTTCAAGGGTATACCACCAATGACCTACACCCTCCTACTGCCTCCAATCCCTGAAGATTACATTGTCAACTCTGTAACACATGGGTCTGTGGGAGAATGTTCAGATTCATGCAGACACCCTGTCTAGAAGCTTCCTGAGTGTATTTCTGGTCTGTAGAATTTTGAGGCTTGTCCTGTTTGGATACAGCCTACCCGTAGACCTGGGTAGGCATATATATATTTCCATATTAAAAACCTTACACCTTCAGAATTGTGAGATAGTTGTTCCATCACTTTCTAGTGACTTTGGGTATTTTTTTTTTCAGGGTTTCTCTGTTTAACAGGCCTGGCTGTCCTGGAACTCATTTTGTAAACCTGGCTGGCCTCAAATTCACAGAGATCCACCTGCCTCTGTTTTCTGAGTGCTGGGACTAAAGGTGTGCGCCACCAACACCTGGTCACTTGGGTATTGTTGACATTTGTCTTCTGGGCCTTGCTGTGTGGTGTGGGAACAGTTGAGAGGCTCTGGGGTGCTCTGTGCCCCACAGACCTCTTCTGCATTACATCATGCTGAGCCCCAAAGCAGGCCTCCTTGTGGTCCAGAAACTCACAACCTTCTGTCCCAGAGATTAAAAAAATTCTCTCCCAATTTCTTCTTCGTGTTTTCATTCTCTTTTGAAACTTGCTAGTTGCTCTTGAGCTGACTCTTTAGTTTTCTTTTATCTAAAGTTTTCATATTTGGGGGCTCTTGTTCTTCTTGGAAAATCCCCCAAATTTCCACTTTTCCAGCTGAATGATTCTGGGAGATCATCATTCCAATTTCAGGAGTTGATTTCCACTCTACTCTTCTGCTGCTGCTGTTGATGATGTTAAATCATATGTCTTTGGGTCTCATGGGCACAATTTTCCATTTGGGGATTTATTAATCACTTTAAAAATTCTCTGTCATCATTTCTGTTTAAATAATATTTAACAAATTTTAATAATATCAAACCACACAAGGTAAATCCTACCTATTTCAATTTCCCAAGTCCTTATGGTCTTCATGTTCAAGTTATTAACTATTTTGAAGTTTGACTTTCATTTCACATAGTAAGCAAAAAAAATACACATTAAATATTTATGAGTATCTCCATGTACTGTGGCTTAGCCTGTGTCAGTGAACAAGCCAAAAGGGTGAACAAACCTTACCCTTCTGGAGTATACAGCCAAGGAGGACCAAAGATCAACCCCAGTCATATCTCCTAGACGGAGGTTTGTGCTCTGAAAACCTCACATGAGAGCCTGGGGTGGGGCGCAGCCACATGAATTGGGGTGGGCTACAATTTCAACTAGGGTGGCTGCTGTAAGAAAGGCCAGCCTGAATTACACAGTGAGACCCTGTAACCAAGAGTGGGGGACAGAGCTCACTGGTGAAGAGATTGAAAGATTGCCTTGGGTTGCACTACAAAACTACATCCCCTACCCTGAACAAAAGAAAACCACAGAAGAGACTAAATAAACCCTCAAACCCCAATAGTTATAGAAAACTGGTCAGTGGCATGTGCACAGGCTGAAGGTGGTGCCGGCAATAGGTTCAGGTTCGCAGACTCACAAACCATTTGTAAAGTCACCTTGGGGGAGACCTCAGCCCCCCTCACTTTACCTCTGCTGAACTGAGAACCGGCTCTGGGTGTGTGAGGCTTCCAGCAGGGTGGATCTGAGGGTCACTCCTTGGTTCTGTTTCATCCTCACTGTTTCCACACATGTGATTCTCTTTCAAGTTAGTGTTTTCTTCCTCCCTTTTTATAACTGGGCTCGTTTCGTCCTAGAAACAAAGTTGGACACCATTTCCCCTAGAAACAAAGTTGGACACTATTTCCAAATATTTCTCTGAAGTTATTTATAAAATAAGTACACAAGCTCAATCCATTTGTCAGAACTTGATTCGTTTGTTTGCTTAACCTTAGTGGAAGAGACATAGGGTTAAAATAATATGCTCATTACTTGGGGTGGTGGCATACACCTTTAGTTCCAGCACTTGGGAAGTAGAGCCAGACAGATCTACATGAGTTTGAGTCCAGCCTGGTCTACGGAACTTCCAAGACATCCAGGGCTACACAGAGAAATATTGTCTTGAAATACCAAAAAAAAAAAAAAAAAACCAAAAAACAAACCAAACCCTCATAATATCATGGGGGATTTGGAGCCAAGAGATAGCTTGATGGATGGGGCAAGCAGGGCAGTCCTATCCCATTCCCTCCCTGTATTTCTTGTATTTTCAACAGTACAGTCAAAACTTCTTGCCTTGAATTCTAAGGTTCGGGACAAATCTGGCTAATTCAGATTATTTGTCTGAAGTATGGCACATAGACTTTATGTGAGGTGCCTGGCAGAACTCCCTGGGTTTACCAAGTCTTTGCAAAGCTGGCTTGGCTATTTGTTTGTTTCTTCCACGTTGGCTTCCTTGAGTTCTGAGGAAGGAATGCACCCTGTTTCTTCCTGTCCTGGACTAAGGCATGGATTCTCTTTAGCTACCAATGGCTTTCACAGAAACGCTGCCTTTTCCTACACTTCTCTCTACGGCATAGGTCTCAGCATGGCCCAAGTGCCCAAAGACACTGCTCAGTCTTTCTCTGAGCAGAAATTACATCTCAGCAGCATCACTTCAAGATCCTCTGGCGTGGCTTCTTCAGGCTGGGAGTCACGTGTTAAGCAGAAATGGCTGAGATGGTGTTCTGGCATCCTAAGGTGCTGGACAGATGCCCTTCCCTGAGTCCTTTTCCCTCATCTGGTGAGAAGCTGTGGAGATGAGTAGAGTTTTGCCTGTGTCACAATACAGTTCTTTAAAATCATGAGATCAGCAACCACAATTTTATCCAGAGCCAGTTTTTAAGTTATTGCTAAAACTTAAAAATACTCTATCCTCATTCAAATGTCTTGATGACTTCTATTTTCTGTCCTGTTTCAAATGTCTTGATGCCT